AAAAAAAAAAAAAAGAAGGAGAAGAGTATCTTCATACACTTGTTGAAAAAAATTGGGCAAACATGTTGTCCAGAACTTAATTTAATGAGGCGACTATGGGGCTCCTCACTTGATACACCCCATCATCCCACACCAAGGAACCTGAAAGCACATATTTGCTAATGGTGCCGTTGACTGTCACAACGAATGATTGCTTCTGCCCTAGAGATTTGAATGTAAGGACACTCGGATCAACTCTGACCTCAAGGCCCGGTGGAGGAACCACTGTTGCCTGGTAAACGGACACAGGGGAGCCAAAATTGGTCACAGTCCTATGGAACACACGGGTGATGGGTGCAGTACTGCTTTGAGTAGACAGTGCAAAAGAAGGCATATTTAGGTCCCACACGGTTCCATTGTTGGCTTTAGTGCAAGTAGTACTGTTATCTCCAGTAACAAGACTCAATGACTTGTTGCTATATCCTTGTCCACATAAAAACGTCACGTAATCAGCCTCTCTGATATCGTAGACTAATCCAGGATTTGCAGCTTTTACAGGATCTATATGGCCTGCCCCATATGCGAATTCAGCATCACTATTGGTTTCTACACTCATGGGAGAAGCTGGAAAAAAAAATAATAATAATAATAAGTGAGTTGCAAGTAATGAGACCACTCCATTTCTTTTTCTCTTTTTATCATTTGTGTATCTCACTGATCAGTCAGTGGCCTTGAACAACTCTCTTCTTTCAAGTTGTTTATTAAGGTAACTTAAAATCTCAAGTATTTATATATTTAAAAAGAAAGACTACAAAGTACAAAAAGAAAAATGTAGTTCAAAATTTTGACCAAAGAACTGAAAGTTTAATAGATGGATAAATTACAAATACACTTTCTGAGATTTGTTTAAAATATAAATTGTTTTCTGTTATTTAAAAAATTACGAATACCCCCTTGTTAGAATTTTTTATTTAACAAAATTAACTAAAAAAAAATTCATAATTGTTCTCGTATACAATAATAAAATTACCTAAATTATTAATTAAAATATGTTTTTAATATCATTAAAAACTGTTAATTAACTTGATAATTTATTAATAAAATGGGTAATTTGTTATGAAATTAGAAACCTCAGGAAGTGGAATGTAATTTTCAAAACTATAGGGGGCGATTCGTATTTTAATTAAATCTCGGGGGTGTATTTGTAATTTAACCTTTATGGATTAAATTTCAATTTAGTTTGCGGTGAGCTACACCCATATGGTTTACACACTTTATTTTGTTAACCACTTTTCAAGCTACTATTTCAGTAATATTATTATATAATTTACCAGTGGTCATTAGAGCAGATTTAATAGCTGCAGGAGACCATTCTGGATTAAATGACTTCACGTAAGCAGCTGCTCCAGCAGCATGTGGGCAGGACATGGATGTTCCAGAGATGATATTATATGGAACCACTCTTGTATCTCCTTCACTTCCCGTCGCTGTCGTAGCTTCTGACCATGCAGCAAGAATATCCACTCCAGGTGCAGTTAAATCGGGCTACAGGTCCAAATAAAATGTTGCAAAAATAATTCAAGATGAAGAAAATGATACGTTAATGATCATAAAACCACATCAAAAAAAAAAAAATTGGTCTCACTAGTTACCTTGAGGATGTCCGTTGTAATTGGGTTTGGTCCCCTTGATGAAAACGAAACAACAAACGGTGCCAATTTGTCTTTCCTCTCAATACTCTTCGCTATGTTTGCCGTTGGATTACTGCACAATTAGTTTTATCAATAGTCATTTTTTACGCACAATGACAATGATATATGTATGTACATATAGATATAGATACCTAGTTGAATTTATATAGAGAGAAACTTGGGAGCCCTTTTGAGGGGTCATGTAGGATGCAGATAAGGGGAATAAGAAGGCAACATCTTTAAATCTATCGCCTTGCATTACTGTACCAATTGCACCTGCTTGTAATGTTGATGTCCCGTCATGTAACTGATCACATAGAACGATTGTACCATTTACCAATGTTGTATTCAATGAGCCTGGGTAGCAGTATCTGCATTTCATTTCAAATAAATAAATAATATATCTCAATTATAAATTTTTCATAATTTTCTTTTTTTCATAGTAATTGAATTTTTGATAAATTACACTTAAATTTCTCATGAATTTTACTTCAGTCTGTCATCTTTTTATTACAACAATTAAAAAATGAGTGAATAAAGTAAAATTTGAAAGAAAGTAGAAGATTGAAAAATATAATTTCCCCTTAAATTTTAGATTACCTGGATTCAGATCCATCATAACCTGCTGTAGTATTCGGAGCATCCCCACCATAAATTAAAGGGTACATGCTGTTAAGATCGAAGGTGTTTATGGAGATACCCTACATGTGGAAATAGGGTTTAGGAACATTAAATTAAGCACGTCTAAAGAACAGAGGCCAACCTAACTCTAAACAGCTTTATTGAAAAATATCAAAACTTGTTTGATGAATTATTTCTAAAATTTATTAGAAAAAAAGAGTTTCACTTTTTAGAAAACATCAAAAAAAGTTCATTAGAGGGTTGGCCTAGTGGTTCAGGGGCTTCTACAACAGACATGATGCTTGAGTTTGAGTCTTATTTCTGTGAATGCAGTTTCCATTCTTCTATTTCCCTTCCTTCTCTTGGCAGAAAACACCAAAAAGTTGTTTTCAATTTTGTGAACTTTAATTTAGCCAAGTCAAAACCCCTCCATTGAACTCTTATTTAGTGAAAATAACAACCCAATTTATTTTATTTTTCTTCATAAATCCTCTAAGGAAAACCCATATAATTAAGAAAAAAAACAACTGCCAAGTTTTGGCCCCCCCCCCCCCTTTTCTTTTACAATATTGATAGAGTAATATTTTACTGTGAATTAGCGTAACATGTTATGTTACTGTCAAATAGAATAATTGTTAAACAGAGTAACATATTACTATAAGACAGACACTACTACAAAAACAGATAAAGATCACACTTTTTTTGTGTGATGTATGTTATTTATTCACACCTTTTAAGTTTTATTAAACTGTGATCTTTGGGAGTGCGATTAAAAGGGATCATTTTTAATCACACCTTTTAAGTGTGATTAATAACATTTAGATCACATCTTTTAAGTGTAATTAAAAATATTTAGATCACACTTAAAAAATGTGATTAATAGTATTTAGATTACACTTTTTAAGTGTGATTAAAAATATTTAGATGTGAAAAAAAAAATATTATACTCACTAGCTTCTCATTTGCTCTTGTGGATATTCGAACCATCAACTCTTTCACACCATAAACCTTATACAACACACTATTTCACTACACCTCTATAACACTATATGATTATATATGCAACATATATTATTTATATAGTACATAGAACCATACTAATATAAAAGTATATATATATAAAGATAATTATTTTTTATTGAACATAATTTATGTAAAAATAAATTATTTACCAAAAAAAAAAGAGACCATTTTTGGCGACTAAACATAATTTTAGTCACCAATTCTATACTTTTGGCTACTAATTATTTTTTAGTCGTTAAAAAATTTAATTCCCGGGCTAAAATTACCACTTTTGGCGACTAGACTTCTTTATAGTGGCCAAAAAGCCCCACTTTTGGCTACTAAATATCTTTTTAGTCTCCTAATACCTCAGTTTTGGATACTAAATTTTTTTTAGTCACCAAATTATCTCACTTTTGGCTATTAAATTTTTTTTAGTCGGTAAAAGCCTCACTTTTGGCGACCAAACATCTTTTTAGTCATCCAATATCTCACTTTTGGCTACTAATTTTTTTTCAGTCGCCAAAAAGCCTTACTTTTGGCTATTAAAATTTTTTTAGTCGGTAAAAGCCATAAATGGGCAACCGAACAAATTTTTAGTCTCCAAAACCTATACTTTCAACGACCAAATGTGCTTTTTTAATCGCCAAATATGCTTTTTCTTGTAGTAGAGTGTAATTAAATATATATATATAATTACACTTATTTAAAAAGTGTGATTAAAAAGTAATAATGTATATATAATCACACTTTAATTAGAAGGTATGATTAAAAAATATATAAATAATCACACTTTAATTAGAATGTGTGATTAAAAAATATATATATAATCACACTTATTTAAAAAATGTGATTAAAAAGTAGTAGTGTGTATATAATCACGCTTTAATTAGAAGGTGTGATTAAAAAATATATAAATAATCATACTTTAATTAGAATGTGTGGTTAAAAAATATATATCTAATCACACTTATTTAAAAAGTGTGACTAAAAAGTAGTAGTGTATATATAATCATACTTTAATTAGAATGTGTGATTAAATATATATATATATATATATAATTACACTTAATTGAAAAGTGACATAAAAAATGAATATTATCACACTCAATCAAATTAAATGTGATTAAAATATCAATCTAATTTTTTTTATCACACTTCCAATAAAAGTGAGATATTTTTTTTTGTCAAAGTGTGATCTTTAACTATTTTTGTAGTAGTGAGAGTAATATGTTACTGTTATTGTTTACATTAATTTCTACAGTAATAATTTTTTTTTTTTAAGAATTCCGTAGTCAATATAGATCTTATTTGATAGATCTTGATGAGAAAATTTTAAAAATATTGATTTTATTAAAAATCGACATCTACATCAAAAGTTATATAATTTTAAAATTTAATATTTTGATAATAGTGATATTTGTTAGACTTTTCAAGAAAACTTTTTGTATTTTTTTCTTAATGTATTAAAATTTTATTATGAGGGTGTTTAGACCAAATCCCCCAAAAACTAAAGGGATATAAGAATAATATGGTGTCGTTTGGTAAAACTTACGTTTTCAGTTTGCAAAAATTTTGTTTTTTTGTGTCTGAAAACACAAAAATGTATACGAGAACTGAAATTAAAGATCGAAAACAGAACAACTGCCAAGTTTAGTTGTGCTTTTGTATTTAATGTTTTTTTTTTATTTTTTAGTAAATCTAGAGAACTTAGTTAGCCAACTATTTCCGAAAAAAAATTCAGAGCACAAACCCATTTTTAAGAAACACTGAAAAGTTGTTTCCGCACGAAGATTTTTTTTTTTTTTTTTGATCAGTTTCCTCACAAAGATGAAAACAATGGGCACGTGCTTGCTCACCTCGTAAATCATATTGTTACCCAGCATTACTTTGGTGACAAATTTTCTGTCTATGGTGCTAGCAGCAACTGAGAGAGACCAAGGTGAAAAATTTTTAATTGATGCAGAACTCGGACCCGAATTACCAGCAGAGTTGGAGGTGAGGATTCCATTCTTCATAGAATGGAAAGCTCCAATGGCAATCACATCATCGAAGTAGTTCAAAGGAATGAACCCCCCAACCGAAAGAGATATTAAGTCAACTCCATCTGCTATCGCATCGTCAAATGCAGCAAGGATATCAGCAGTATTACAGCCATCAGACCAACAAATCTTGTACACGGCAATGCGGGCAGAGGGAACCGCCCCTCGAGCTGTTCCTGGGGCAAGCCCAAATAAACTGGCATTGCTTACTAAGCGCCCAGCTGCTGTTGAAGAAGTGTGAGAGCCATGACCTTCTGAATCTCTTGGTGATTGAAAGTCTCCTGGAGGAAAATTTCCACCAATTCTGTAGTACTTAGCTCCTATAATTTTACTGCAAAAGTATTTGAATTTTTGTTAAAATAATTAAGGTTAAGACATATGTGCATTGTAATGACTGTGGGGTGCTAGATTAGTAGTAAAAATTACTTGTTGCAAGTGAAATTGGATGAGGATTGGCAAGTGCCGTTCCATTTGCTTGGAGGAGGACCAAATCCATCGTCGCTGAAGCTATCGGATTCAGGCCAGATTCCAGTGTCAAGCATTCCGACTATGATGTTACTTTCAGCTCCTACTCTCTTGACTTCTTGAGGGAAGCCCATGAAGTCCCATGACCTTGTTGTCAAAAGCTGCTTCTTTTCATTTGGGATCACAGACACCACACCTTCCATGCCTATTAGATTAAAGGTAAAAATTAAGCCAATGGTCCTAGTAATTTATCTCTTGTATTAATTTAGTCCTTCTAGTTTTAATTTGATTTATTTTGAACTTCAATTTCTCACACTATGTCAATTTAATCAAATTTATAACATCTTAAATAAAACCAAGAGCAATATGGTTCATTCAAAATAGATTAAACCATTTACAATTAAATCCTAAGAAACCCATACAAAAAACCCAATCTCAATTTCATAAGTCTATTTCTTAATATTTTGGGCCATTATGGCTAAGCTCTAATTTCTTTGTGTTAAAAGGACACATTTGTCTAAAAAAATAACTATTTATTGAAATCATCCTATGTATCTATCTTGAAATCACCCAATTTATCAATTCATTGAAATTCATCAAGTCTATTTTTCTATCTGTTAAAATTCACCAAATTACCTATATGTTGAAATGTGACACATGTCACTCATTCAACATCCTATCGGTTGAATATCACACATTCCTCTACCTCACCACCACCACCTGCCACTACCGCACGCCAACGACTTTTCCAGCACATCCTTATCATCTAATAAGATTTTACCTTAAATATAATATCTTATACTCTCTTTAAATTAGACTTTTTACAAATTTTCTCTCAAATATCCTTCTCCCTCTAAGTTATCTTAACAAAGATAGATTAGATTGATAATATTTTAAATTTTAGGATTTAAATAATAATGCAATTCAAAGGTTTGATTTTTTTTTTTTTTTTGACAACCAAATCTTGGATTTTATTTTATTATTTTTTTTTGTAATTTGTTTAAATAAAATTTAGAATAGAAAAATGATTCATTCTCCTAATTTTGTCCTAGAGGGAGCTAAAGATGAGAGAGAGAGAGAGAGAAGTGCAGAACCGTTTCACATATTTTAGTCATGTCATTAAGGGTGGAATTGTGAGACTTTAAATAGGGGATGTAGCGGACTGCTTAGAATATTAAGTGGATGCAATAAGAAAGTAGGTGTACAGAGCTGAATGTGTTGTATAAGTAGAAGCTCATATTCCCACAATCATTTTGAAAAAAGTAAATAAACTATTTTGCTTCTCGATTTCAGTTTAATTTTTAAAAGAAATTATCAAGTTGATTAAATCAACAACAATGCTACTCATCCAAAATTCTAAAGTGTTGTGTGTGGTGTGGGTGTGGGTGTGGATGATGAGAACATTCATGAGTTTGTCTCTATTCTAAATTGCACAAGTCAGAAACTTCCCCTTAAATGTCTAGGATTTCCTCTTGGTGCTAGTCCTCAAGGTAGAAAGATTTGGCAACCCGTGGTTGATAAGATCGGGTGTAAGTTGGCATCTTGGAAGAGAAAATTTCTGTCATTTGCTAGTAGGTTGACATTGATAAAGTCAGTAGTGTCTAATTTACCTTGCTATTATCTGTCTTTGTTTGTAATTCCTAAAGGTGTGGCCAAGGTGATTCATAAGATTTAGGCATCTTTTCTTTTCTTTTTCGGGGAGAGGGGGAGGGGGCTTAGATCTAAAGAGAAAGGTGCATATGTTTAAATGGGGGGAAGTGACGAAGCTAAGAGAGCAAGGAGGTTTAGGTATTAGAAGGATTAGGGAGATGAATGAGGCTCTGCTATTGAAATGATGGTGGAGGTATGAGGTGGATGACAATGCTTTGTGGAAACAAGTGTTAATTAGCAAGTATGGCTCTCAAGGGGGAAGATGGTTGCCTGAGTTGATCATTGCAGATGAAGGGAAGGTTTCCAGGATTTGGAGTGACATTTTGCATGTAGTAAGTTCTAATTATCCACTGTACGATTTTTATGTAAGTAATATAAGGTTAGAGATTGGTGATGGTTATAGAATTCAATTTTGGAATGACAGGTGGCACATGACTATTCTAATTAAAGAGGAATTTCCTAGGTTATTTTGCCTATCCGTGGATAAGGACGGATCTCTAAAGGAGTTTGCTCAAAGAAGGCAGAGTTCTGGGGAGTGGGTGTTGTTAAAACTTGTGTATTATTGATTGATTAATTACAAGATTGTTGTATAAATTACAGATGGTGAGGTACTAATTATATAGGAGAGGATTGAGGAGTAGGTGAGTGTGTGTGGTAGGTGAGTTGAGTGGAGGTGGTAGGTGATGATATATTTTAACAGCCCCCCGCAAACTCAAGGAGGATAGAAACTAACCAACTTGAGTTTGGAGAGAGTAACAAAACAAGAAAATACATAAAAATAAAAAAGGATAGGAGACACTGTATGGTCGTGTCAGACCAT